TCTGAAGATGCCGGCCACAGAGATTGGCAAAACATTAGGAAGAACAACCTTCAGAACACAGCCAAAGAGCCTGAAAAACCCACAACAACCATTAGATCCCGGGCGTGAAAGCCTTCGCGAATACATTAAATTTATAGGATTTACAGGTGCTATGGGGCGTCAGGTAATTATTGTACAATGAAAATATGATTAAAAATAGGTTTGGGGATTTCTATAGCACTCTTGAAGCATTCATATAGTCTTCGTAATCCCACAGTAGCAATGTGAAGCCATCCAATTTGATTAGATAAAGAAGAAGGATAATGGCCTTTTCCAGAGGCTGGCTACCTGTTGAGTTCATGAAGTTTGAACCAGGGGTTTCATATTTCATAGCTTATGCTCTTAGCTTTCACTGAGGGCAGAAGCTCATAACTAGTAATAGAGGTTGTCATTATTATGAGAAATATATTTGAAAGCACCTTCACTAAAATAAAGATTAAGAACTGTGTAACTATTTTTGGAAGTCATTGCTAATAACCTGTGAAATTAAATGTCAAAACGCTCCCTAAAATTTTTTACAAGGCATCTATGGTGTGAAAATAAAGAGAAAAAGAAATGGATAATCACATACATGTACATTCCATTTCCATACCTACTGGTATAAGAAACAGTCTTTGAATGCCTTTCTGCACCTGTTCTGTTTAAATTTCATTCTGCAACTGAATCCTTCCATACTGTAAGTCCTGTTGTGTTCAGTGGCCCTTACTCCTTGATACGTTTGTGCACAATGTTATGCCCTTAGAGAGAGGGGGTTGCCAGTCAAGATGAATAGGAAAAGGTTGTGGTGCTATTCAAGTATTAAGCATGAAAGCACGTAGTTCTCCAAGGGGTAGGAATGGGGACATTTATTTCAGCCCTGTCCCCACATCTGCTACTTATGCAGAAATCATGTGGACCCACTGTGAGCAGAGCCAACTGGACACGCTTATAGTGATTGTCAGCGAAGGCACTTAGAACAAGTACACCAAGGCCTGCATGACTTCTGGGTGGGTCAAGAGCATGGGAATGGAGCTTATTTGTATGTTCACATCCTCACCATCCTATACACTTTCACCTGAATAAGATTTAGAAGAATGACAACAACATGCTGGTTGGTCTCCTCCTATCCACCAATCATATTTCCATCTGCTGTTCACTACTATTGGATAATGGAGTCTGTTTTCCAGTTTAATTTATAGGGGATGCCACAGGCAAGGGCTGCATTAGTACTACACATTGGTATTTTATGAAGACAGCAAACTGCTTTTTATAGGTGTTCCTGCTCTTGGGATTGAGTTAATGGTTCGCACTAAGTAAATTTCGGCAGTAAGCTTCCGTTTTATGGTTAACCATGAAGAGTTCAGCCTCTGAGAACTGGATATATGCTGCACAGTTCTTCCTGCAGTGTTTCTCTCTCCCTCCAAATACAGCACACTTTCAGTCATAATTAAGCCTTAATCGTAAACAGGTGTACAGCAAGAGGGAGCTTTAATTAAGATAGAAAAGCTTCTTGGGCACTTATTTTGAGATCTTCTTAGTCCTGCAGCTGGAGGAACCATCCGACATACATTTTTTTGAAAAGAAATACATCTCAGTACCATGTGACTTTATATGCTGCCTTCTATACATTATTTATCTGGTATATTCCCATAAGTTATACTTTTGAAAAGCCAGTAAGAACATTTGCTTTATATATACTAAAATGGAATATCTCAGAGTGCTGAGGCAATGCTGGTCAAAAAGGCAGTCTTTCTACAATTCCATCTAGCAAACTGTGTGGATACAGAGACAAAGGGTGTACAATCCAGCTAAAATTAAGTTGTTTTCTTTCTGGTAAAATTCAGTGGAACAAATGTTGTTGTTGTTTTCCCATTACACGTGCTTCTTTTTCTCCCTTTGAAATCCATTGAGTGGATTTGGATCTATGGTTGTGATGGGCCCATAACATTCATTTATGTCTTAATTTTTTTTATGCCTCCTTTGCCTAAAAATGAGATGTGACAGATGAGAAAGAGTAAATCAAATCTGAGATTGGACAAGGTGCAAGTGCTGTACTCAGAGCATTGGGCTAGTGTGTTTTTGTCAACTTTTATTTCTCTGAACACCCGGTGCCATATGTTGCACCATCTGCAGCTCTTTTATAGCCTTCACTTGGAAACCATTGGCAGGCGCTGCTCAGCTCTGCCCATGCGGGAAGGAAAAACAGGTGGCTCAACACAAGGCTGTCTCTTTCTAAGGACGATTCTGGTTTGGAGTCTTCAAGCCTGAGTTTAAAGGGAAAAGATATTGGTGGGGTTTTGAGGCCTGAGTGGTTGAAAGAATTTACACCTTGAGAGAAGTTCATCAAGGTCTCAGAAGAAAAGTCAGCAGAATGTTTTGGGTCTTGCTATGACACAAGAGGGTCCCCCTGCCTCCTGTCAAAATCATCTCAGTCTTGCTCACTTTCAGTTCCTTGTTTGTTTTGTTCGAGTTTAATTTAAAATCATAGAACTTAAAAATATGGGTAACTGTTCAACTTGAGCGTTGTCTTAAATGAAGTCATGTAACACAGCCGAATACCTAAGCTGCTTCTTTGGGTACTATATCTGTGTCATTGCGGGTGGTCTGAAATACAAGGTACAACAAATTATGGCTGTGCGATACTGACGTTAATTGTACATTATTTAGAGGATTGTTTGAGGGGAAATCATGCCCTGAAAAGTACAGGGAGCTTGTCAGGTGGCAGCCCGGCAGTCTCACATTAGTTTGTATGAGGCAGTCACTTCAGGCAACAGGTTACCGGGAGGGGGAATTAGCACCACACCAAACCACTCAGCCAGCCCTCCTGCCTGCTTAGTCTACTTTGAAGAGAGTTGCAATCCACTCCGGAGCTGCCTCTTTCTGCAAATAATGCCAGGCCTCAATGGGTCATTGGAGCCAAAGCACAGTGAGCAAGGTAACCAGAAAAACCACACAGAGATTTTTCTGGTTCCCTTTCCTACAAAGCTTCTATAGAGAGACTGGAATTGATTAAAGAAATAACTAGCTGCAGAAAGAAGACAGCCTATGACCACCTCCTTCTTCCTCTGGCAGATGCATGCCACCCTTCCCCCCCCCTTCTATCACAGTGCACTTGCCCTTCATCTCTTGTGGGGTGCTGTCTTCTTGTCTCCCTCCCTTTTTTTTCTTTTGCTTTGAGGGACTTCTTGCACATGACAGCAAGATGCCTATGTGTGTGTGTGTGTGTGTCTCTCTCTCTCTGTGTCTAAGCTGTGTTGTTGCATATACAGGAGTGTACAACAGCAAGGTGAAAGGAGTCAGGTGGAGAACATGGCACTTTGTTTTCTGCCTCAAGCAGTGGGAAAACCTGGGTCACATCTTGTTCTTGACTGTTCTTGCTATAATGATAAGTTGAGTCATGGTTTTTCTTCATGATAGTTGAATGAAAATGCTATTCCTAAAATAAGTTACTTTTTGTCAAGTGTATGTTTCAAA